GTAAGTAGTAAAATACCGGTACAGTAGAGATGCGCGAGAACCTGAGAATATAGGATCTTAATATTAAAATATTCTATCTATATTTTTTATTAATTATATTCTGTTCCAGTTATTATCTACTATTATGTTGGATAAAGAATAAAGTTGCATTTTTAAATGAAGAAAAAGATTTCTCAGATAAATAGAATATGTCGATACAAGACAAAACAAACTGTTGGAAAGAAAAGCTGGTATAAGTTTTAGAAATACATATTTATTTCATGTAGCAAAACAAAGGAATAATAATAATAATGACATTTCATAAAACAAAAGTACATTTTATTCCGTGTTACTGGCTAATTGTTATTGGCTGATTCGGTAAACGTAGATTGCAAATGAAACAGAATTCAACAACTTCTCATTTTTATATCACTTTGTCGTATTCTGTTTCACTTGCAATCTTCGTTTATGCGAATCAGTCAATAACAAAAGCAGCCGAAACCGAGGAGTTAACGTTCATCAAGAGTAGACGTGTCCCCTTGCCGCACTTGCCTCTCCAGTTCGAGGGACAAGTTACGAAACGTCGTTGGAGGACAATACATTTCGCCTTTCACGTTAGCTTCATCGGCCATAGGTTTAACCCCTTGCTCTATAGTGTCGTGTCAGACTCCTGATGAAGATTTCGAATAGAATGTAACAAATATAAAGATTACTCAGTTCGTTTGAATTCAAATGAAATATTATTCCTTTGTTATCAATGATTATGCTTTGGAGCAAACGTTAACAGAGGGTATACTCAAAATTTTTTACGTATTTGCAATAAATTATTAATAACAAAACAGTCAGATCGATCATAGTTCCGAAGTAAATCATATGGCAAGCGGTTAAAAATGCACAAGGGCAAGGGGACTCTTTCACTCACGACGCTCGGGCCTTGGCGCGCGCCAATAATGACCATGCGTCGAAAGCCGAGGCGACTCGAGCGTCGTGAGTAGAAGAGTCCCCTTGCCCTTGTCCACTTTTAAATCTAAGGCCGACGGAACTAACGTGAGAGGCGTATAGTATTTACTTGAATCTGATTCTATCGGAAACCTGACTCGACTCGATCGTCTGCTTCTTAACATTTTCGTGTTTCCGCACGCCTCCGCCATACAGCCACTGAATAAAATTTCCGCCGTGGAAACGAACGTGTCTCTACTCGCGTTACATTAGCGATGATCTTGACCCATGGGCAATTAAACGATCATTATGCGGCGATTACACGAGTTCCAAGGCAAATAAGAGGCTCGAAGGTGGAAGGAGGGCTCCGGTCTCTCGGGTTTTACGGGCGAAGGAAGAGAAGAAACAGAAAAAGAAAAGTAGCCGGTCATGCGTATTCATGACCGGAACCGTGGATAATGCCCCGGAGTCTCCGCACATCATATCTTACACAGCTGGAATATTAATTCTTGTCATTCGTATGCAATGCGCGCGCGCGCGCCCCAGCCATCCAGCGAGGCTGCGGAATGGTACAGGTGCAAGTCACCGAGGGAAACTGCATTTTTCCGTCGCGGCTGACTATTTCGCGTGAACACTCGTTCGCGCTCGGTACGGGGATTATTAGAATTTCATTTAGATCAATTAGATAATGATAGAGCTTATCGTGACTCGAAAGGAATCGGTGCACGCACCGGTAGTTTGAACTCCTTTGTTGGCCCGTCGGGGATGACGCGGTGATTAGATCGAATCCTGTAATGGATTCTTTTCTGCAGCTAATTTGTTGCGGGGAACGGCAGATGTTAAACGGGACTCGCGATCGAGATTGTAATTTTATCGGGGGATTGAATGCTTCGCCGGGGTGAGCGTGCGTTAGGTTTGAATCTTAAGTGACTACGATTCGTCTTTTTTTCGTGTTTCTTGTTCTCCTCTTGTGGATAATGCTCGTGATTGATGTTTGCCCGGGGTGTCTGCGGTTGAAACGACACGTGTCGTGCTTGTAAAACTTTCCGAGTCGAGTCTTAGATTTCGAATTTAGACGTGTAATGTAAATGTATCCTTTTATTGGAAGTATTCGTCACCTTTCATTTGTAAGTGTAATTTCTATTTTTATAATGATATCAATTGAACTTTGAAGACTTTGAATGATTATAATTAGTTTAAAAAATGTCGATTCTTAACCTTGTGCTTAATCATTGTTCTGCAACTACGCCCATAATACGTTATTAAATTTTATTATTCATTCAATTTAATTTAAACTTGTATTTAGACATTTAATTTTACACATTAAACTTCGTAAAACGCATCAATACGTAAAATATTTAAATAAAATAGCTTTATTCCTTAATTTAGGTATATTTCCTCATTTTGTAGCTAGTTTCAAAATCGTCTATATCTGATTAGAAAATGTTGAATACATCTAGTGAAAAACTTTCAAACACAAGGGGTAAAACTAAATTCGCTCCTTACCACATTCTGTGTCACCGAAAATTTCGGTTATATCTTGCTTATAAAGAGCTCTGATTGTTTCAATAAAATATTAATAATATTATTTCTTTACATTTTCGCTGCTTTCCCACATATATCGCTATTCTTTGACACATGTCTCATAAAAACTGTTTCTCGCGAGGAACGTGTTAAAAAAGGCCACAGCAAAAATTAATCCCAATTTAGGTCGAAAAACATTTTAGAGCCTGATCAAGGTTAACATAAATGAAATTTCAGAACCTTGCTATAACGAAGTAAATGACGACCGATAGCCGCCCCTCGAGTGCAAAGGACAAAGGGCTAAATTATCAAGGTTAATTATCCGGAAGACAAATTTTCGTTTTCGTAAGCCAGTCCGCTTCCGTTGTTTCCAGGGATCGATAGACAGCGGCGTTCGAATCAATTACCCTTAATTTGTCGGGCGGGCTGTCGCGTGTCAACACCGTTTGCAAGAACAATCCTTAACCGACCGCGAACCAGCCCCGTTCCATCATTCCGTGGCCGTTTTTTCGCGCCGTTGCCTCTCTCTCGTCTGAAAGACAAACACCGGTGGCGACACAGCGGTACGCCACGGGAGATAATCATCGTCATAAATTCATCATCATCACCATCATCGTCAAGCCGCTACGGGAGAGTATAATCACTCGTTAGCGGAGAGGCGCGCTACGCCGGCGGCGAATCACTGTCAAGGCTGCCACGCTTCGCGGAATAACGAATTCCATCGGTAGAAAGGGCCCTCGTTCCACGCTATTCTCTCGTCCCTGTGATATTATTCAGCGCGCAACTCCGGCCGATGATTTATTGGCCGGGCCCTGGCAGCGCGAGGGATGAATCTAACGTTTAACTCTTCCGTTGTCGCAGGGGAGTATAATCGAGTGCGACGAACGAATTTCTGGATACCAGAGGCCTGTGATTACAGGTGACCACAGGTTCCTTTAAAGTAAAAAGGGGGATGAGATAATTTCATTTGTCCTGGATACTTCTCTTTGGTTCATATTTGACTTGTTGTTGGGCTGGGTTGAAAGATGAAGTATTTATTAAAGAACTATTTATTTATCAATCTGGAATACATGTTCTTCTATTTTCTTACCTTTAAATTGCGTTTAAACAAAAAATGCAGGGAACAGAATGAAGTTTTTGAAAAAATATTGCAAGTTCATAAGGATTTCAGTAACAAAACTCTGTTATTGCATTGTTCTTGAGGTTTTTGGAGTATTCAGATTGTGTTTATGTTACACTAGGTCAGGATGCTTCTAGAGATTAGAGAAACTAAATAAAATTAAATGAGTAATAGCAAGTATGAATGCGTTGAATATGAAACATAACAATATTTATAAGAATACTGTACTCCTTAAACGAATTGCTGTATGATACACATGTGATGCGTGATCGCAAACATGTTAAATCAATCAATCGGCCATATTAGATCACCCCATAAGTTTGTGCCATGTTGTGTTAATACTTCTCGCGTTACATTTGGTAATCCCAGAGCAATACAACTTTGAACTGCTCCAGGTTAGTCAGTAGAAGGTATTTGAGAGCGATAGGTCGTGAAGTTAGAAAAATTTTATATTTAACACGTTGACCGCCACGAGAATTTAGAACTTTTCGTATAACATTACTTATCATATCGTAACAAAGGTAAACGGTATTATTGTAGAATTAGTTATTAATGGTTTAGTATCATAGTTCTTAAGTTACACTATTATTTAGTTACTCATAGTTCTAAATATTTTAATTCGACATTAGTTTCCACAAAAATTATGAATTACTTGCATCACAATTTTTACGTTACACTATTACCTAATTATATACACTATTAAATATTTTCATTCGCCATTAGTCACCTTACGAATTATAATTGTTTTTAATCAATTTGGAAGTTCTGGTCATTCAAATTCTGGTGACCACAGTAGCAGTCAACATGTTAACCCTCTGTAAGCCCATACAACTTTGAAGTCATACATCAGTATATTGGCATCTTGTTGATTTATTTCATTTTGCACTCAAAGTGGTGAATAAAATTAAGTGATCAGTTAACTTAAACTTATATACGCTTAGGCATGAATGTTTAACGTCATTGTAATTTGAAAGTTATAAAATATATTCGTTTAATGAAATTATTGAAACTATTGAATACATTGTTAATTCGTATTCATATGTGGATATTTATTAATTTTGTACTGCATAGATTTTGTTATAATCATGAACAAAAATTCGGCCCATAAAGGTTTAACACAAAAACCTCCAGGCAGTTAAATTGATTTTTCGAAATTTCTCTACAGAATCTCCAAGAGCGCATGTATGGAGATTATCATTGATTTACAATTCAAATAGCGCATTGCTAAATCAATTGCTTTGATAATTTCTCACAGAATCATTTGTTATCCTTTTAATACTCGCAAAACGAAGAAATTAGAAATGGGTCATCTTGACCTGTCTGGTAGCTTCAGTGTTAATCAAAAATTATTTTATATAAAAATAGAGAACTTATGGGACGACCTAACAATTTTCCGTAGGACCCAAATCTCCTAGTCAACATCGTTTCCCTTTTCCAGAACGAAACTGGTTTCCTGTGGCGAAACGCGTGACCGTGCCCGCCACCGCCACCGCCGCCGCCACCGCCGCCGCCGCCGTCGCCGCCGCCATTCGCCGTCGAAGTCCGCGAAGAAGTGCCCGGTGTCTATGAGACCGTGAAAGCCAGGCGGTGCGTGACGATGTCGTCGAGCGGTGAATTTTCGACGCTGTCGAGCGGTGAGGTCACCGGGACAGGCGACGACTCGTTGCCCAGCTCCCGGGAGGCGACCGCGGAAGCGGCGAATTCCGGGGGCGGATTTATGCCGCTACGCGAGTTCCTGGACAGATTCTCGTTGCCGAGGGTGGTCAGAGTGGAAGGCGCCGGCGGAAGGCCGATACTGTTGTACAAACAACAGCAACGATCGTTGCGAGTCACGGCCACCCTGCTGATGCACCGTTATCGCCATGATGTTAAAGTTGGACCGGAAATCGTGATCCCGGAAGGGTATCCCGGTGAGTATTCTATTTGCCCGAGCTTTCTACTGTTTGCTTTTCAGGTGTGTTCCTGTCGTTGTGTAAGGGGCTACCGGCGTGGTGCGGCGCCACGATAAAACACGAACGCGTTAACGTTAATGAATCTACCCGTAGCACAGTGGAAACCCGTACAACTATAAATAATTGCTGCCGATCTCCGGCGGCGCGACGCGATCAGAAAAATTGTTTAGAAAGATTACGTGGCAATAAATGTTAGAGGTATTAAATGCTATTAGCGCTTTAATATCTAGGGATCGCGTTAGATTTATCTGCACGTTACATTCGCGCGTTATTATTTATTTTATATTAAGAGTTACATCGCGATGCCTGCTCGAATGATATTACTGTCAGGGTCGTGTAGTTTTGACGTTGCAACAATAAATTCCCTTGCGAGAAATAAACGCGAGCGGTCTGGGATAAATCGGAATTCTTCTTTTGTGCCTTCCGACGTAGAAGACACTGAACATTCAAATATACGTTCTTCTATTTACGAAAATCATGACTCTTCAACTCTTAACCCCTTACCCTATAATATGTCAGGCTTCTGAAGATATCAAATAGAACTCAATATATATAAATATTATCCAATTCGCTTCCGAATTAAATATTCTTTGTCTATTATCAACGACTACACTTTAGAGCAAACGTTGACACAAAATATACAATTTTTCTCTTATTCTCAATGAATTATAAATAACAGAGTAGGGTAGATCGAAGGAAATCGGATTGTCTTCTCTTTGACAATGAAGGAATAGAGATACTTAATCGTTAATAATAAAAAGTAGAAAAGAATTTTTAAATCCTTTTTTGGCGAAAAAGAAACAGGACACGAGAAATATATTTGCGATATAGTAAGTGTAGCCTGAAATCTAATTGCAATCCGATTGGTCCTTTGATCTGATTCGCTTCGGTCTACCCTATTTAATACTAAAACTACTGGATGGGTCAAATTATCGCATCTCAGAATTTTTGTTTTGTAGGTGTTTCAATTATAAAGACGTTCTTGCGAAAGGTTCTCAATTAAAACCGTGTATTTGCACGGAGACAAGGTTATCTCTGTGATTGCAAGATTTCTCGGTACTTTTGATGTTAACCCGATTATGGTTCAGAAATCATAGGACGAGGGGTTAAAACAATCATCCTCTCCATTCATTCATCTGTAATTCCCCAAACCATCTCAAACTCAACGCCTCAGCACAAATCAAATCACATTCCATTTACGTACGCAAGTCGCAAAAATTCGGTTGACATAACTCCAGCGTAGCCGGTAATGCGCGTCGAAGTCATTGATACGAAAGAATCTCGTTATCTGCACGATCGGTAAATAGAACAAGCGCAGAAAGAGCCGCGGCAAGATTTCTATCATCGCTGAACCGGGCGGCCAGTGTCTCTTAGCATTCGGAACGGAGCCGGCGGTTTTCCCCACCCCCTACGGCCGATAAATCATGTCAAGGAGAACCGTCAAAACGCTGGCCGGGGGAGAAAAAGCGAAAGCCGATAGGCGCGCGGCCAGAAATTCATTAAAGCGCGGCGCGCCGCGCCGGTGGCGCTTAATGGACCGCGAGGTATCCGTAACTGCATAGAATTGACCGGCGCGGCGTAGTGTCGATATATCGATCACGTCGACGTCGATGATCGATCGAGCACCAGCGAATCCTATCGGGAATTCGATCTCGGATTAAAGCTGCGCTGCAGCTGCTTGCACAAGATCGCGGCCAAGAAAGCCGCCGATTAATAAGCCGTACCTTTGATCGATGAAAACGTTTGCGAGTTTCCATCTTTGTTTCTTTTCCTCCTCTTTCCCGTTCGTTCATTCCCCCTCCCCCTTCTTTTTTCTCGAACCCTTCCCCTTTTTCTTCTTTTCTTTCATCCTCGAAGTTTCTCAACCGGTCGATGAGCTTTTTATGGAACGTTTAATGCCCGGGGAAATCGGTTCTCGTGGCCGTTATTATTTCGCTTATTAGCTACAAAATGCCGGCGATAAATTCTTATGGATTTTTAAGGGTTGATTCGGGGAATGGTTACATACTTCGCTTGGTATGGGGAGTGGGAGGATAAGTTTGTAGTGGTTTTGTAGTTTGTGTATAGAGTTTCGGAAGAGGTTCGTTGTTATAGGATATTTTTGGTGTATTGAAAGTTAGTGTATAATATATAAATAATTAAAATAAAAGTATGAAAAATGCTGAATGTAGAAGTAATAAAATAATTTGGAATTTGAAAATAATTGTTGAGTAAGTGAATTTAATGTGTAAATTAACATAGTAACGGAAATTTCATCATCGTGGACGCTGGAGTTCGTTAACCGTTAACATTGGATTATGCTAATTAAATATGGATCGTAAATAAAGTAATGAAACTGAGAATAAGATAAAGAATAATGTGGGAAGGAGGAAATAAAAATGGTCTGTTCGACATGTTCCTTGAAATGACATTTGTTTGAAGAGCTGTGAGGATAGGTAATTTTATTGGTGACAGTCAATTAATATACATACTCGTATGTAGGACAAATTTACGATCGTGTCACAATAGTATTTTATTATTTAACGAGGATCCGTCAACAGTGTGGAGTGATACTCCGAAAGGAATGGTTAAATAGGTTTACGACACACAGTGTAGAATGCTTGTTAAACAATTTAAGTGGTGAGCATTTCAAAATCCATGTAATTACGGGTCGTTAAGATCTCTGAATGATAGATACGTTAATCGAGTGGTATTGTATCTTACCTGGTGTTATAATTCATACTCATTAAATAAAAGACTACTAAGATAGCTCTGAAAGCTAACTTTTATTAGATTATTTGTCTTCGTAGCCGTAAAATGTTTCTTCATCGTGATCCCTAATGAAATTTCAAATTACTTTGTTGTATTGGATTTCATGCATTAGACTATTTAACTATTCTGTTTCTAATTATTCCGATAACGTTATTCTCCTGAATAATTCATTCCAACTTTTCCTTTTTCCATTGCTTCGAAAGAAATTGTAAATTCCCGTTTATTGTTCGTATTCATAATTAACTTTAAGCTAAATATAATAATTACTTCGATGAAATTAAAATAGATTCCCTTTGTAATAACATTAAAAATAATTGCTTGGAATATGATCGTAAATGAATATCTGTTTAGAGAAACCTTCTCTCAAATATTAATTTTAAGAAAAAAGAATGGAAGCAATATAATAATGTTTACAAAAATTATATAATATAAAAACAGTGATGGATACAAAATGTGATAAAAAAATATGATAAAAGAAGCTGATGTATTTTGTATAAATTTCTAGTATTAAGTGTATCGATCATGAAGATTCTAATATTTCTGGTGTACACGATTTATTTACACATCATTTTCAATGATACAAATTCTTCATCCTTTATGGGAGCAATCTTCATCTTTCAAAATAACGAATATTAATTGTAACAAGACACATTAAAACTCCATATCAAACTTCATAAACATTTAAGAAAATTCATTTCTAATTAATATTCTTTCACAGAAAAGGCAATATAATTCATGTAGTGTCAACTTTTAACTCATAAATCGTTGTCTTTTATAAGAGAAGCTCCTTGTAATCAGATCTCGTTGAATTGAATTCAGTTTACACGGTCCATCCACTAGCAGTGGTAATCCTAATAAATAATCATAGAATTACAACGGTGTATAAATAACGCGCTATGTATCACAGGGTGTCTAGTATAAAGGGTGAAACACCCTCGAGACGCTGAATCGAGGAATCGCTTACAATTACAACATCTCGAAGATATTTCCTCGGCGCAAAGGAATCGGGATACATAAGACCACGTATTTATTCGCTTATTTACCCGCGGCCAAGTGTGTACATATGTAATCGGGTTGTTGCGGGTACAGCGGTGATTTAACCGAGGCTAGCAGAAAGAAAGTAACATGATTGTAGGTGGCAGTGGCCATTTAACAATGAAACCGACCGACGGGCGTCGGGGAAGCGTTCGAGTTGAGTCGCGTTTGATCCTGGACAAATGTTTCACTTTTCGATATTTAATGGTTATATTTCATTCTTTCTGATTACGGGGGGCTTCGTTTGACATTACAATTTTTAATTGATAGAAATGTGGTTAAAAAAATTATGGATGAAGATAAATAAAAATACTTTTATGTAATTTAGAATTACTTTAAATATTATCGAAATTATTTAATTTCTTATTGAAATTATTTTAATTATTTTCTATAATTTAATATAGATAATAAAATCATGAAACGAGTTCATATTTATGTAACTCTCTTGACTTATCTAGAATTCATAAGTTAAACAGTTCTCGCTAAAAGAATTTTAATCTGAAAATGTAACAAGTTATATAAACATCAAATGATATCAATTCACTATGGTATGATTTTCATTTATTCAATTATGTAATGACTATTATTTCTCACGCTTCTATTGCTTTAAGAAATCTCAGCAGATGTATTCTTAGAGTTTGCCTAGGAAAATTTCAAAAAGTCAATTTGACTGCTCAGTAGTTTTACCGATCAAACTCCCGTATTCGTCGAATTCCAATTCAGTTCGCAACCGTCGCTTGGCTGCGAGCGTCACCGATCCTCCGATCTATAAATAGTGAAGGGAAGTATAAAGCAATGCGGCAAAACTCGCTGTGAATTATAATCTAATGCCGCGTGTACGTCCATGATCCGCGGATCCTTGCCGCACGAGTGTTCGGTTGCTTTCACACTACAATTCTTGAATCGCGATTTACGTCGCCCGATACTATTGGAAGGTCACTTGATGTTCAGCGTCATAGCACAGGAACAAAAAGAGTCTATCATTAGGGATTTTGTTTACGGTTTTGATTGGTTACATTTAACCCTATTGACAAATAGCAAATTAGTATCGAAAATGAGATGAAAAAAGATGAATCGTACATCGAGAGTGCTACTGCTAGACACGCTTGAAAACTATAGAGTTTCTTTTCAACCGGGCAGTCTGCAATAGAAGAACATTTTCTCAGGCGCTG